TTGTTGTTGTTGTGTTGAATTGTTGTTGTGTTGTTGTTGTTGTTGTTTGTTGTTGTTGTGGTTGTTGTTGTTGTTGTTGTTGTTGTTGTTGTTGGTTGTTGTTGTTGTTGTTGTTGTGGTTGTTTGTTTGTGTTGTTGTTGTTGTTGTTGTTAGTTGTTGTTGTTTTGTTGTTGTTGTTGTTGTGTGTTGTTGTTTGTTGCTTGTTGTTGGTGTTGTTGTTGGTTGTTGTTGTTTGTTGTTGTTGTTGTTGTTGTTGTTGTTGTTGTTGTTGTTGTTGTTGTTGTGTTGTTGCTTGTTGTTGTTGTTGATTTAGATTTGGGAGCAAAGAAGACTTGGGCGTTCTCTTTTGTTAAGTATTTGGCACTTCCCTTCTCGTGTTGTTGTAATGGAGCCTGAAAATGCTCAGTGAGTCTCTTCTCCTCCTCTCGACAGGCTATAGTGTGCTCATGGATGTTGTCTTGGCCTTTCGTCTTTTGGTTTAATGAACACTTTGGATGATGTGCTCGTTTGGGAATTCGAAGCCCAAGAAATCGGGCGTGGCAAATCTGACAGTCTTTCACTGGGTCGAATGCCACTCCACCATCCAATGTTGTTTGCACTTGCTCTCTATCAGGTTTGCGCTTCTTGGATGGGTAAGTATGCGATCGTGCTAGTTGGAAGCCTCTTTTTTGTTGATTATTCCGTTGCTGACTCTGTCTCCCCATTTCTTCGTTCTCCTTCAATGGAGACAACTCCTGCTGCTGCGGATTGTCTGGAGGGTGGACGCTAGTCATCTTGCTGCTTGCTGGTGGCTGGATAATACAAAAATACGGTTGCATGCATACCTTCAATGACCATCATCGTCTTTGTCATTGTCGACTATGCGACAACGGAATCTTGCTTTGCTTTCCTTTTTGGCGCAAAAGTGGAGGAAAGGTAGCACATTGTCTCTATTTGTTAGTGTCATGTAAGCGTCACCGTTCGTTAAATGTTGCTGACATATACATCTACTCTCCACCAATCATATTACTGCCTTCTTCCCCGAAATATCTGGTCAAGCACTCGTCGTCCAAGCTTGTCAACCTGAGGCGGGGTCCTAACCAGCTATTTAAGCCTCTTTATTCCTCCCTTCGTTCGTGAAATCTATTTAACTGTTAAAATCGGCTTGCTTTCCATCCATTTCCACGAAAGCTGCGGTACGGCGAACCATTGATTTCACATTATCAATTCGCCGTACCGCAGCTTTCGTGGAAATGGATTTGGCTTAGAGCCAGCCAGCTTCCGAAAACGTCAGTCCCAACGAATCCCCAACTCTAACGAAAATGGCCAACCCACCAGATTCTGCCAAAACGCAATCACCGTACATCAGGAAAACTCGTGAAAATCGCATATGATTGTTCTTTGATAGAATCTCGTGGGTTGCCATAGCTATCCTCGTGCATGTGGATCCACAGGCAATCATCATGTGCATCCGTTTGTGGCTCCTCTTTCACCACAATTTCCCTTTTTTTGAGTTCTTCCTATCCCCGTAACCGAATCGAATTGCACTCCAACCGTTGCCGTTGTCGTTGTCGTTGTCATGGCTTTAGATGATA